CCAGTTACTGGATAGACATGTAGTTAAAACAACTCAAAGAAGAACTCTGATCCCTGGAAATTCTGATCTTCAGTTTATATATCTATACAGTGAAAGAACTGGTGGCCTTGGCCCCTGAGCCTGAGCTGACTAGATTCCGTTTTTATCATCAATGGACCTTCTTCGATATTTATCCAATAATAGATTAATTACCCCTAGAAGTAAAGGAATTTTGCCTAAGATTATAGTAGCCCCACGTGTTGGGAGGCATTTGCAGTTTCTGAAGGCATTTGCAGGTACTTGTAAGATCTGTGAATAATGCTAATTTTGACTTCTGTAATCACTATCACACCCACTATTCTACCGGTTCTCTAGGGTTGGGGGGAGCCAAAAGAGGGATGGCGCTTCTGTCTTTAAAATCAAACAAGCAAGAAGACTCAATGCTGAGGATCTGGGGAAGCTGTATCCCCCCCAGCCTGTGTAATGAAGTGCTCCTTTGCAATTCGGCAGTGTGTCTCTGGTTATCTCGCTGACAGGTTACAACACTGAACACACACCTCTAAGGGGCCTTCCAACTCCAATAGTCTAAGATACTAAAAATCTCCGACTATTATAAACCCCCTTCTTCCATCAAGTTCTTATTTGTCTTTATAGGCTCTTTCCTCTACTTCAATACCATTCTGTGAGATTTTGATATTTACCAAAAGTGAAGAGTAAGAAGTGGAAATGGAGCCCAGATACGGTTGGTTTCCTTGAGGTTAGAAAGTGGGAACACAATAAGTTATCTTTGTAATAAAGTGCAATGCTCAACTTCTGTGACTCCATCTTGTTCAAACCTGCTTTGTTCTCATGGCCTTCAGGTAAATGACTTCTTGCACATAGACATGCTAATCATTGGAGGAATTGTGCTTCCAGCTTGAGTTTCACAAAAATAACCACTCACAAGAATGTGTCTCTCCCAAGGAGATAAAGGAAGTATGTATTGTTTAATTAAAGATTTGCAGGTACCTCCTGACCAGACTCACATCAACTAGGGTCAACAGACTAAGCACAATCTTTCTGGAACCCCTGCTGGTGCCCAGATATCTGCAGAATTGCTCACCTCTTGCCGCTTCTATTTGCCCTTCCCTTGACATAAAACAAACCTGAACTTTCTACATTCTTAAAAAGGATTTGAGGCACTGCTAAGTCTTCCATCTTTTCAGTTGGTGTCTCTATCAATAAATATTTTCTTACTCCAAACTCTGATGTTTTGAGTTTTAGCCTTTTGAAGCATCCAACACATGGACTTTGGATCATTAACACAGGGATAATGCCGTTTCTCTTTCTCCTTTTCATTCTATTCCACTAGTAGTTCTTGACTTGATGATCTGATAAAGGCTGGTCAAATACTGTATCTTATTTCCTATTAACTTTATCTATTTCTGTCAAAAAATTATGTTAAATTGCTATGAGGGTTAAATAAAATTTTAAAAATGTGAAGTCTCTAACAGTACACAATAAGCATTATAGTACATGATACCACTCAACATTTGCTAGTTGGACAGTGCCTTACAGCACACAAAACATTTTTTCATCCATTATCCTCTTGTTCCTTATCATATTATTGCTACCTAAAGATCAGAAAGCTGGTGAAATGCTCAATGACAGAGCTAGGGAAAGCCATGGTTTATACTCAGAGTGTGTTTTTGGAGAAAAAATTGCTACTAAATCTTTCTTTGCTTAAAAATTGGGCAACATTCTATGTCTGGGATTGTACCCCTACCTTGAAAATTTGACTGTAGCAGCTCAGTGAGAAAGACTCAGTCTTCTTAACCTGCTGACATAACATTTTTGTAACCACCCCCTCTTATTTCCAGTAATAACTGATTCTCCTACAAACTCAGAAATGCTAATATTGAGTACATATAAAAATCTACAATTTCATTTGAGACAGAGGTTTGCTTTCTGACCTTTAGCTAGAATTCCTGAGAAGGCTTTTTGCCCACAAAAGATGGCAGTCTCCTTAGGGCAATTCTTTTAACTCTGTATCTAATTGGAAACAAAGCTGTGTTGTGTAATGGCAGGACCTTAACTTGGAATGTATTTTGTAACAATAGCCCAGAATGGTGAAAATACCCCTAAATGAAGTTTTAGGAAACCATGGCTCTCTCCAACTCAGCCCTGTGTATAGTGATGCTTTGGAAAAGTCCTGGTCCTTTCTGAGTCTCAGTTTTCCCATCTTCAGAAAAAAGACACTGTGTTCTACCTTCCAAGAGCCTTTCTAGCTCTGACATTCTCTATTTTATAAGCCTTACGCTGCTATTCCTTCATACTGAATGATTGGTGCTATTACATGTTTTTGGAGTAACACGGTAGATGTTAAAGTTCCTAGAAGTCATGGGACAATACTTGGTGTAGCTTTTGCAGTAGAAGATGTGTTCTGCTGGGGGTGGGAGGGGGCTAATTTGATGCCTCTAATTAAAAAAGTTCAGAGGCTTTTTATGAATCCTATATCCTTGACTGGGTAATGCTAGTAGTATCATGACCATAACTGTCTACACCTTTCACACAGAGTTGGTGAGGTCATGGAAAGCCATATAAAAACACTCTAAAGAACATACGGGGAGCCCTGGCCAGTTTGACTCAGTGGTTAGAGCATCGGCCTGCAGTCCAGAGAGAGAGACCTGGGTTCAGTTCTCACTAAGGGCATGTGCCTCGGTTGCAGTTTGTCCCCAGCCCTGGTTGGGTTGTGTGAATGGCAACCACTCGATATGTCCCTTTCACGTCAATGTTTCTCGTTTCTCTCTCTCTCTTCCTCTCTCTCCCTCCAACTCTATCTGAACAAAAAATGTCCTCAGGTGAGGATAAAATAAAAAAGAACATATGGGAAGACAGATTCAGAAAATCAAGTACGTTTTGCCATGGTCACACAACATTACTTGTCAAGAACAAGACTCTTACACTGGACTACCTGGCATCCTGGTCACTGTATTTTTTACTCTACCTTATATAACGTCTCTCAGAGTAAGCACAAGTAACTGTTTAATAAAGCATTTCTGGTCATAAAGGCATCCATATTCTCCACAATTTCCCTAGTGACATTTGACAAAAGAGAAGATGATAGATTTTCATAGTACTCTGGTACTAAAGGCTTTTCTGAGAAGTAGCACCTTAGTTTTACCTTGGGGAGACTATTTAGTTCTAGATTTATATTTCCATCTATCACCTTGAGCTCAGGTGAGAGGGTTTCTAAACTTGTATATTTATAAGTTTATTACATCTTTGAGAAAGGTCATTGCCATACTCAAATTGATGGTCTATTTAGATATAGGGTCCCTCTTGAATTTCATGCTTAAACTTCATTTGAGTTTCCCCTAAGGTGAAGGAATATAAGTGTATTTATTAGATAAGCTATCTTGGCAGATTTTCATCCCCTTTGGATAAAAGCAAAATTGCACACAGTATATAAATTGACATATGAAGCAGTAAATAATTCCATTGTGCAAGTTGTTTTAATGGATTCAAGCCAGAATGCTCCATTAACCAGCATGTATAGAAAATTCACTGAGCATTGGGTTTGCCATTAGGTCAGGAAAAAAAAAAAATGAAGGAAAGTAGAGGGGGGATGATAAATGTCAGTACAGCACCTGAGAGAGTGAGAAGTTAGAAAGGTATGTACAATATTTTTCTTTTTTTCTCTTCTTTTTCTTTTTTCTTTTTCTTTGCTTTTCTTTCTGGGCAATGAATTAAGCACTAAAAAAGGGTTGGTGTCAGGTTTCAAATCGTCAAAAATCTGAAAACTAGGCAGAATGTGCCAGGCTCTTTCTAACTTTTCTTTTGTAAGAAGCAGCTGAGAGACCAGCCGATTGAAAGAGGGGTGTCATATGCATATGTGTGAGATGGTGTTTATACACATCTCTACGTGGATAAACATTTAGAAACCACAATAGCATTCCCAAGGAATCCTTCCTTAATACAGGAAGTCACAGCTTTGTGAAGGGACCACAATTAAGCTCCAGTTTTTCATTCTAGATCCCAGGATTTAATTTCTAGAAGAAACAAGACCTCTGTGATATTCCATGGGGCTGTTTAGAATTACAGGCAACTTAATTTTAAAGCTTGTATAATGCAAAGCTTCTGAGCTTGGCTTAACTTCTAGAGATCTCTTTGCAATCAGAGATACTGAAAACCACAAACTATAAATTCTGGTGGGCATAATCAAAAGCAGAGGTCACAGAAAATTACAATTTTGTTGATCAATGTGGCCATACTCTCCTGCCACAACTTTTCTCCCATCACTCCCAAGATGACTTTCTCGTGCTCTGCACTTGGGTTTACCAGATGACCAGGCCTGGGTGAGACCAGAGAGTGGCTGCCTCCCACATTTTGTGGGTGAGGACTGTGATTTGGTGGAAAAAGGCAGGGACAGTTTCCCTATGAGTTTGACATGTTTGTTGCTGACATTTCGCTAGATGGAATGTATATAGAGAATAGAGAATCGTGAGATACGGAAATTGAGGTAACAACATTTGAATTGGTCATCATTCTTCTTAAAGATCATGTACATCTTTCTATTTGGGAAGTCCCAAGTTTTTTCTTAGTCCTTTCTTTCATTTACAGTTCTGTGGAAATCATGGTCACATCCCTGCTTCTTTGAAATCATCTCCCACCTTGACTGTTTCAGTTCCTGTCCCATCACCATCACTCTTCCTTCTCCCTTTGTCCTGTAATTCTTACCATCAGATTGTTGCCATGAGCTCAGTGTTCAAATGTCCAGCTCTGGTGTCTGTCCTGAATACCAGAATCACATTTCCAACTAGGCATTTCCACATAGAATTCTCAACCATACTTTGAACTCATCATGTTTAAAAACAAATTCATCCTTTTCATCTTCTATATTTTTGGAACAATTCAGTTAGTTGGTACTTAAGCTGCTTATCTCAGCAACAACATAAAGGCTGATGTTCCTTTCTCATACTCTCTTTTTTGTTTTAATCTAATGGAAATGGCTAATCTAAAAGAAAACTCCTTTCTTGTAGGAGACAAGGAGAAGGCCTTAGGATCTACTGGGGGAGTCTGGAGCAGCAGTCTCTACTGTCCCGTTGGAACCCGTGGTCCACTGAGGTGCCTTATGCTACCTTCACTGAACACCCTATGAGATACACCAGTGAGAAATTCCTTGAAATTTGCAAGGTAGGAAGGAGTTTGGAATTCACTTTTGGATTAACTTTGTTGGTCAAGTTTTGTGGTTGTAAAACATGTGCAGTTAAAAAAAAGTAAGATACAACTTAAGGTTTATATAGGGAAAACTCAAATAGGTTTATATACATTTTTTTAGTAAACAATGGAGCTGTTTAAAAAAATTTTTTTAATGGAATATTTAAATTAACCATACCATGCTGTTTCCTCCTTGCTAATTTCTTAGCAAGAAATAATAGTTCAATATTGTTTTAAAATTGCAATGCTTGTGTTTGTCTACTGTGTTTATTATCCTGTGGGTGCATGTAATTTTCTATATATAATTAAATTTTAATTATTTTATTCAGAGGAGTGTGGATAGTGTGAAGTATTAAGTATGGCTGTGTGGTAGTGTTTACGTCAATTTCTCTCTGGGTCTTGGTAGTTTTATCCCTAAGTGGAAATAATGAACACTGACCTCCCAAGCTCATTGAACCATTATAAGGTTAAATGAGATAATGTCTATAAAAATGTTCTATAAACTGTGAAGCAATTAATAGTATTTTATGTCTTTAAATCTCATCTCCCCAAGTGGATTATAAATTGATTGGTGGCAGGGAGACTCCCTTTTCCTTCTGCAAGGAAACTTCAGCAAAGGTAGAATACTTCAAGTAGTCTAAGTAAAACAGTTGGAGCCATACAAACAGTGAAAGATCAGACTTTACATTTCAACAAGACCAGAGACACATGCAAGTACGCTTAGAGGCCTAGAAATTCTTGCCTTCTCTGACCTTTCTATGTTTACCTTTACATGCTAGCATTCACTTCAAACTATCACAACTCTTCATTTAATATAAATTCAGAACATGATAACCTGCATCTAAAGACTTCTGTGGTTGGATAGTATACAATACATTTCTTGCATTATTTTAAACACACTTATTCATACAGGTTTATATATATGTGCATAAACAAGTATTTTAAATTGATAAGTCACCTCTTCTAAAAAGAATGTGAGGCAAAATATAGGTTATTAGAGGTTGCATGGGATCTTTAGCCTCCTTTATATATAGGAAAATTTGGTTTGCACCCCATTCTGCTCTCAGGAAAAGTCAACGGTCCTCTCCAGATGTTTGCAACCATCCCCAGGGATGTATAGTTTCAAGCTTACCCCTGGCTCCAAGTTATTGCAGGCACTAAATTAGTTCATTGTATGGATATGCTATAATCCTATTTCACAATACCTCTACCCAAGCATCAGCATCACCACCCAAAGTCAACAAAACAAAACAAAATGAAATGAAATGAAAACAAATAAGAACATCATAGCCCTTATACAAAGGTATTTATATGAAGGTAGACTCACTGAGGGCTTCGGGGAGAGAGCAGGAGTTTGCATCATACTAATGCCCCAAACTTATAGTGGAATATCAGATCTCCATGTTTTTAAAAGACCTTATTAATAATAATACTCTAAGGCATTGCTCCATAATCCCCTTTTCTCTCCTCTCCATCTTGCTCTTGCCACGCCCCCAAATCCTATTTTATTTATTTTTATTAATAGCATAGAGTAGTTTATCTGTTTCTTTTTTAACACCTGCTATTCCAACTCAAGAACTTAATAATGGAACTTTCCAAAGCCATTCCCCACCTTTAAAGGGCATTTAGTTCTTAGCCATTAAGATATATATATATTTGAATTAATAGTAATTGTATCTTATTGTAAATAAAAATAAATACCAACTTAATAAATACATACCAACAATAACCTTTGTGATTACATTCATCACTTCCTGGGCCAAATCTTCTCTTATTCCTCATACCTGGTACATTAAAGACTTATTCCTTGAATGTCCTTTGCTAGAAGAAGCTTAGGGTGAAGGATTAAAAAACAAGTTCTATGAACTACAGAGAAATGCCATGTATTACTCTAATACTCAGTAGTGCTTTGCTTTATTCTGTTATATATAAATACAATAAAATAATTTAATAATGAAGATGCAAACTAAAATATTGAAAGGGGGCTGGAATAATTATTTATCAAACACCCATGAATATAATTAGTAAACAGGAACATTAAAATTTCCCCAAGCCTACCTATTAGCCAAAGCTGAAAGGGAATTTTGTAGCTCCTATTGGATAGAGGCAAGAACAATAGGGTGTGTGTGTGTGTCCATGTGTGTCCACATGTGTGAGCTTGAGCATTATAAATGGTGGGCTAGTTGACTGGTTGGTTTTCAGTCAATCTCTTTTGTGGATATGTTACGTGTGTTGCTTTTGAGGCTTTTCTTTGTATTCTTGCAAACTATTTTATTTTAAATTCCTGGCAACAATCTGGCTCTCTCATTTGCCAAACCATTTCTTAATTCAAAGACCACCCCAAGTCCCAACTCTCTAGGAAAACAAGCAATGTGAGATGATTACTTTGATCCAGTTCATAGAGCCTTATTTTTTCTTTTGTTGTTGGTTTTTATGTCACAATATTATTTATGTTTAGTACATTTTCCAAGATTGGCTTTGATTAAACCCAGTTATATTATCGTAAAAGAATAAACAAGAAGAAAAATAATTGTGGGGATATAGAATACCTTTTATATGAATAATTTGGCATAACATAAGATGTTAAAAGGGTCATGTAAAATAGTTTTCTCATTTCCCTTATGAATTAAACTGTAAAATATAGAAGAATATGAGGAAAATTGCATAACTAAAAACACCTGAAGCAATTTAAAACTGCTCTGGCACAGGAAAGGGAGTCATGTAGAGCTGAGTCACATGCAGTTAAAATTTCAAATTATTTACAATCTAATGGAATAACTTTTTATTTAAAAAAATCCAAAATTTATTTTTACTCAGAATCTTTTCTCCTACAGCCCCTGGAATCTCTAGATTCAACAAGTATTTTCTGACATCCACAAAGCACAGACATTATGACTATTATTAAGGATACAAAAATCAATGAGATAAGAGTCTTCCCTTTGCAGAATGCATTTCTTAATAGAGAAGGCAGATAAAAATGCAAATATTTGTAAATGAGTACTGATGGACTTCAACAGAAGTTTGGATCAAATGGAGAGGCACAGAGGCTAAGGTACAAGGATTTTTCTTAGACACAGAATAATTCAGCTGAGCTGGAGTTTAACCTTATATATTCCCCAGCATAATTTTAATAGCTCAAAAAATACGGGGTGGGGCAAAAGTAGGTTTACGGTCATTCAGATGAAAAATAACAATAATGAATACATAGTAATGCAAGAGTAAACTCTGTATTCCATGTACTCACAACCGTAGACCTACTTTTCCACACCCTGTAGATGTGTGGGCCTAAACTAAGGTAGTAGGGCAATAGGGGTAGAGGGATGATGGAGACATTTGAGATGTTCAGATTAGAGAATCAATGGAAGCAAGTAATTGACAGGATAGAGTAGGTGAGGAAGAGGAATATTTCAAAGATGGCATGGTTTCTGGCTGGGTAGATGGTGATTCCATTACTTTAAATGGGGAAAACTGAAAGAAGAATAGATTTGAGGTTCAATTTAGGACATGAATTGGAAATGTCCCTGGAACATGGAGTAGAATTTGTTGTCAGGCAGTTCGAAATTTAGGTCTGAAGCTTGGGAGAAAAAGCTGAACTGGTGAGAGAGGTTTCAGATTACACACCATTGGGTCAAAACCAATCTTAGGGTTGACTAGTTAAGAAGTTACCTTTGCAAAGAACGTTAATGGATACAATTGCAACAATGTATGGGTTACCAAGGAGATCAAGGAAGAAAATAAAAACTTCCTGGAAACCAATGAAAATGAACACCCAACAACACAAAATCTATGGGATGCAGTGAAAGCAGTTCTGAGAGGAAATTTTATAGCACTACAGGCCTACCTCAAGAAACAAGAAAAATTTCTAATAGACTATCTAACCTCACAACTTAAAGAACTAGAAAACAAACAAAAAGGAAACCCCAGAGCAAGTAGAAGGAAAGAAATAGTAAAGATTACAGCAGAAATAAATGACATAGAGACCAAAAAAACAATTCAAAGGATCAATGAAACAAAGAGCTGGTTTTTTAAAAAGATAAACAAGATTGATGGACCCTTAGCTAAAATCACCAAAAAACAAAGAAAAAGAACCCAAATACACAAAATCAGAAATGAAAGAGGAGAAATACACCACAGAAATACAAAGGATCATTAACAAATACTATGAAATATTATATGGCAACAAATTCAACAATCTAAGCAAAATGGACAAATTTCTAGAAACACATAGTCTCCCAAAACTGGACTGGGAAGGGATAGAAATTTTGAACAGACCAATAACAACTAAGGAAATTGAAGAGGTAATCAAGACTCTCCCAGCAAACAAAAGCCCAGGCTTGGATGGCTTCATGGGGTAGTATTACCGAACATTCAAAGAAGAACTAACACCCATTCTCCTCAAACTATTTCAAAAAATTAAAGAAGAAGAAAGACTTCCAAACTCATTCTATGAGGCCAGCATAATTCTAATTCCAAAACCAGAAAAAGACACTACAAAGAAAGAAAAGTACAGGTCAATGTTCCTGATGACCATAGATGTCGAATTCTAATTTATATTATCTCTCAGTCTCACTGATTTAAAAATCACAATCAAATTGATGAGATACTATGTCAAAGTACATTTTTTAAAATTCTTCTCACTACAATACTTCTACATCTGGCAAATATGAGGGTCAAATATTCTCTTCCCAGACAGTCATACTTATCTCTGAACCTCACCAACCGTTTCCAATCTGTGCGTGCATATACTTTGCATTGTTCATATAAAACAGTTATGTAAATAGAAAATGAGTTCTTAGCATTGATTAAATTATTACAAGACATAAACATAATCTCATGTAATATTATGTAATTATATACTTTACTTTTATTGATTGCAGTTTGCATGTTTTCATGAAATTCACTAACATATATCATAGCTATCTGTGTTTTAAAAACAAGGGTACTGCCCTAGCTGGCTTGGCTCAGCAGTTAGAGCA